TGGATAGTTTAGGTTGTAAAAGAGTTGCTGCTTTACCCTCACATAGTTCTTTTTTAATTCAAATGTTTTGAGTGATAAATCAGTAACAATTTTTAAAACCCTGGTTTGTCTTCAAGTGTCCAGCTATATACCAGGCCATCTATCTTATTAAAAAATGTATTAAAAATTCACAATTTTAAAATTAAATTTAAAATTAAAAATTCAGGTTTCACCTGACCTTTCACATACTTTGTTTAAGCAAATTCATCAGGCTCTTTCTTTGTTGAAAAGAACTTTCATAGAAGTTGTACTTAGGGTTAGGCAAGCTAAGGGCCAGACCACAAATTTCAGATTATTGAGACTGGCTCCCAGTGCTGTAGTTAAAAAGATTCCCTTCAACTGGAACATTATACTGCAAACGCCAGAGTTTTGCTTAAAACCCCTTTAACTTCCCTGGAGTGAGCTACGGGAGAGAGGCTTCCTTCCCCTCCCTGGCTGCTCAGGCAGGGCATTGGGGAAAAATTTTGATGGTTAGTGAGTAAATACCAGACTGATTTACTATTAACTGTTCGTTATATTTTAATCAGGAATTGCCCTCTCATCACGGGGGGGGGGGGGTGTAGAGATGATGATGTCCAGTTAGATCAGTGTTTCTCAAATGCGGCCACCAGGGGCTTTTCGTGCGGCCATGACAGCCTCCTGAGGAGTGATCAGGGGAAAGGGGGCGGGTAAAGTATCAGCCCCTCCTCTTCCCTCCTTGTTGCTCCTGGATGTGCTGCCCTGCACTGCCTCTGGAGAGAGATGGGACACAACACTGCAGGAGCAAGGTGAGTTATTGACCCACATTGTGGGGAGGAGGGGGTTTGGGCAGCAGGCTCCAGCTGCGGGACTTCAGGAACCTGGCCATACGGCTCCAGGCTCCAACCGTGGGACAGCAGTTACTGACCCCCCGGGCTCTGGCCATGTGGCACTGGCCTTCAGCTGTGGGGTGTCAGCCTCCAGCCCCTGGTTCCAGCTGCATGGCAGCAGGTGCTGGTTCCTGGCTCCAGTCCCAGGCTTTGGCCACAGGCACCAACTCCCAACCTCAGCTTCATGGCAGCGAGTTCCAACTGAAGGGCTTTGGGTGCCAACCCCTGGCTCTGGCCGCTGGGGAGCAGGTGCTGCCCCCCAGCTCCAGTCGCAGAGCTTCAGTCAGCCTCTAGCTCCCAGTTCCGGCCATGAGGTGGCAGACACTGGCCCCAGGCTCCAGCCACAGAGCCCTAGCCCCTGGTGCTGATCCCCTGACCCAGGCACTGACCCACAGCTCTGTTGCCGGGCTGTGGTCACATGGTGGCAGGAGCTGGTCCTGGGTACCGACCCCTGGCCCTGGCTGTGCTGCAGTGAGTGCTGACTCCTGATTCCAGGTCTCCAGCACCCAGCTCCGGGTTCTAGCCGTGTAGCAGCAGGCACTAGTCCTGGGCGCTGACCCACAGCTCCTGCTGTGTGGCAGCAGGCTCCGATCCCTAGCTCGAGTCACGCAGTTTCTGGCCATGGGCACTGAGCCCTGGCCCCATGGCAGCAGACACCAGACCACTCTGGCCATGCAACTGTGGGGCTCATCACCCACTCCCATGTATCCATCCCCTGTCACTGCTGCCTCCCCCTTCCATCCCCCTATCCAGGGCTTAATGAGTCCTGGGGCTTGCTGAGAAAAGTGATATTAACAAACATGCAAGTATCACTTTTCACAGCAGACTTACTAGCTATCTGTGAAAAGTGATACTTGTATGTTTGGCAATATCACTTATCACTTTTCCTAGCCTCCCAGGTAGCTACTAAGTGTGCTATGATATTAACAAATATGAAAAATCACTTTTCACAGCAAGCCCCAGGACCCATTAAGCCCTGGGTAGAGGGGCAGAAGAGGGAGGCAGCATTATTTTTGTTATTGAATCTGCCAAAAAACCTACAGATATACAGATTTGGATGTGAATATGTGCATATTTAATTGTTTTTCCTAAAGTTAATTAAGTATTTTAGGAAAAAAGTGTCAGTGTGGCCAGCAGGGAGAGTTGGTGGCCACATTCTGAGGCCACCAAAAATTTTGTTGCGAGAAATCATACCAACTGTTTTATATATTTCTAATAAGATTGAAAAATATCTTTACAAATATAAATATTTCCTTCCTTGTTGAGTTAGGAGTGTCTACAGTGGAGCAGTCCCTAAGCATAAAATATCTTCTTGCACATCTGTCTATAGGGAGTCTCTCATCTCTGGCAGAACAAACATTAAATGTGCACCTTAATTTTCATGAAGTCTCCAGATTTATCTTTGCAAATGGCCCAGAAGACAAAAAAGAAAAAAAAAAGTACAGCTTTCTGGGGAATATCTTACTAAATTCACAATAGTGTAGATATTAAAGAGGAGGTATAATCACACACACATTTAGCAATTCACACCTTCAAAGGGCTGTTCATATGTTGTTATACTATCAATACTCTTGTAAGGAGGTGTTATCCCCATTTTACAGGAGGAGGACATTGAGGCAAAGATTACACAGCAAGTTGATAGCACATACAGTTCACCTGACCACTCTGGCTAGCGTGTCAAACTTAAGTAAAGTTATGCTTTAGCATCAAAAGCCATAGAAGTTGAAGAAGGAGAATTGCAGAATACATGTACATGTAGCATACACTGATGTCTGTGTGCACATAAATTCCCAGTGTTTTGTTTGATGTAGCCTCTTCAGTGTAACACTTTTATATCATAACCAGACTAAGTTTCATCTATTGTTTTAGTATGGTGGTTTATGTTATGGAAAGCTCCCTGATCAAAGCTTTCTGTAACAAAGAGGGAGAATAGCTTAAGACCACTTGAAATGAACAAGGAACTTTTGGTATACCAATCTAATTAACATGAAAGATGCTCAAATGCTTCAGTGATGGAAGAAAATACAAAACCCTAAAATAGATAATTTCCCTTGTAGTTAGTGGTCATTCAGAACATTCACACGAAAATTAAGAAAACATCTTCCTTGTTAATATCTTGCTGTCTCACCATTATTTTGTGATAGGCCTACCCTTCTCAAGTAGGTGACTGACACTAGACTTACCAATATAAAACAGCCTCTCCAAACTGAAGTAGTTTAACAATTTGTGATATGGTTACTCATGTTAAATAATGCACTGATTTCAATGGCACCGCTCATAGCATAAGATACTTTTCAATGTAAGGGAATTAAAATAGCCCAATTAATTAAATTCACTAAGGGTCAAATTGTATTTCATTTCTTGTTGCTCATCACAACAAAATATAACATTTACTCTCTCAGAACAAAATTTAGTTCCAATGTCCCTCTTACATTTCTCAGTGCTTAGGTGGATTTTAAGTAGGATATAGGTCTTGTGTAGATTCCCTGTACAGCAGTGAATTTCACCCTAATAATTTAGCATTTGTTGCATATCTTTTACAGTGAAGGTCTCTATAGGATGATACCCACGCATCTTTATATCCCAATGAAGAGAAAACTGCTGTGTTCTACCCCAGAAGTGTAGGTACAATAATAATACTGTATCTGCCTAAACTTTCAGTTAATCAGAAAGTGTTAACTCTTGTATCCTGGTCACATGACAAGTGATAACAGCTATATTGGTAGGAAAAATCCACAATCTTAAAATATATATATATATATATACACACACACACAAAGTTGTTTTTAATCGAATCTGAAAGATAGCATACCACCCACAGGACTGTGTTTGGGGCATTAGTTCAGTAGTGACTTAGAAGGAAGAATATCACTTTCTGCAGTAGCTGAAGTCTCCCATTCAAGTACTGATCTAGCCCTGTGATGCTTAGCTTGTGAAAACTGAAAGGGTCAGAGAACAAGGTGGTACCACTATAAAATTAGATGTTTTAAATGTGGTATGCTGATTTTAAGCTCTGAGTGGTGAGCTATGGCAATTCTATTATGTGCAAAACTTTGAGCAAGAATCCAAAAACAAAGCCTAATATTTTAGTTGTCTAAGTTACGGTCAGTCAAATATACAAAGAATAAAATTATGCAAGTTCAACTTCATTTAAAAAGTACACTTGAGTTTTGCAAGTTCTAGAAGGTATTTTCTACAGGGGCAACTCTTCAGTGGTCTAAGGGTCTAACGCAGTGTCCTTTGGAACTCATTGGGCACTGGCTCAGCCTATAGGTGTAATATATTTGGTACACAGATGCTGAACAAAATGATATTCTTTTACCCTAAGAGACTGTTGTTCAAATTAACATATGAATCATTCCATTTGTCCTCAACAAATAGTTGGCTTCTACTTTTTGTTTGCAAAGAAAACTCAGAAACACAGTGTTTTATAAGGGGTAGTGCACCAGCCTGAAGAGACTATTGTCAGGTAGTTCTCCTGCCTTGTAGTTGGAAACAAACATGTTTCTGTGAACTCTAAAAAAGGGTGCTTCGCTTATTGCTGGTTAATATATCAATATATAGAGTGCACAGGTGGTGATACAGACTTAAATTATTATTATAACATTATACTCTGTTATAATGGAGACAGGAAATATTTTCTCAGCTGACACAAAATAAAGCTTGGATACTTTACAAGTATATTCTAAACATGTTTCCAGTGGAAGAAGCAATAAAATCTGAAGTAAAATGCTTGATAACCTGTAGTCATGCTATAGTGTTCTACTCTTTCTGGACAATATGGAGTATTTCTCACATCTGAAATCTGTATTTATCTACAGGAACAGACTCTGTCCAGATGTCTGTCATCGCTGTGTATGGTCTTACTACGAAACACTGTACAACTAGCACACATATACATATTCTGAACGGAGGGGAAATGTGCATACAAACACAGAACAGATGGTTCTCATTCCCTTTTCTAATTAAATATCCTGTTTTAAAAACCACAACTATATGACATTAAAAGTAACATACTTTTTGTTACTAATTTCATACTAGGTCTGCAGTATTAAGGAGCAAAAACTAAACATATTACAGCTTATATATATTAATTCTTTTTTTTTTTTTTAGGCCCAAACTGCTTTGCAGAAACCACTGTCATTCCAGCTGGCCGAGAGGTGAAGACTGATGAATGCACTATATGTCACTGTACTTACGAAGAAGGCACTTGGAGAATTGAACGACAAGCTATGTGCACTAGACATGAATGCAAACAAATCTAGGGAATCTACAAATCAAAGTACTATGATGTTTTTATAAAATACTTCACTGCAGTGAAAACCTAGATAAGCCTGGGAAAGATTATTTATTGTAATAAGAATATTTTTGGTGAGGAGAAAAAGATCATCATACTGGTATTTTGTTTTTCATAGTAATGCAATACTGCAAGTCAAAGAAATCCATATACTTAAAAAAGTTTGGACATAAAAAATCCTGTCTTAACGTTTTATTTTCATGGTGAGTGCACTGAGTACACTCTATCAAATATTCTATGTATTTATATAATCCCATTATAGAGGTTAAAATAAATGTTTTATATAGATACAGATTAAAATATGGTACGGTCACCTGTCCTACTGTGTACATGCACCATGCCTAAAACATTTCTGTTTTAGTTTTATTAGGACTTTATTTTTGGTGGGCAACAATAATAGACGTGTGGCCAGGAAACAGCCAGCAAATCACATATTTCAGGTACTTCAAAGTTCTACCTTTTGAAAATATACGGTATAAGCTTTAAAATAATGTGCTAAATTTATTATATGTGCAAAAGTAGACCAAATTCTCTTTTCAGTTATTCTGCGTGCATCTCCAGTGGCCCTGCACTAATATAACTGGGAAGAGAGTATGAAATTGTGACTTTGATTATAGTAATTAATTGTTTCAGAACTCTAAAAATGGATCCTATAAGAATTAATTTCAGGTATTTACACATCACATCAGGATGAATTCTTTTGTGATGTAAAGCATCCCATATCTGATATAAGGGCTGTAAGTGACTAAACAATTCAGCTCGCAATGATTTTACATTTAATGGTTGTGAAAAACAAGTACAACTGACAACAGCGTATGACGGGGAGTATAACAGGAGAAGCAATTAACAGGTGTAAGATAAAATAGTGGAGATCTGCTTTATTTAAACACGCTCTTGGTTTTTCTGCTACTCTCATAAATTACACTTGGGTTGAATCACTAGTGAAGCCCAGGTTCAAGAAGGCACTTAAGTATGGACTTAACTATAGCATATGCTTTGCTGAATTATTGCAATGTTAGTAGTTAATTACATGACACCTGATGCGTAACTTACATTGTTTAGCTCTCAGACTTCTATTAGGATTTCAATGGAAGTTTTGCCATTAACTTCAAAGGGCCAAAGTTTGGATTTTGCTCATATAGCTATCAGTCGCCAGACAACTGTTTCTCAACCAGATCATGGACAAGAAAATGATGAAACTATGAAGCAGCAAAGACATAAAATGCACAGCAGGCTTAAGTAACCATAACAATTAAAAATCTGAAGAAAAATAATCCTACAACAAAATGTACTTCAAGTTCACATATAGCCTCAGTCCATCGAGGTGGACAATCGAGGAAAGTAGGTTTTGGACTGATTATGATTTTTTCAAATGTGTTCTGAACCCATCAACTATCAAAATGATTTTTCTCAAGCCTATGTACATGTATATAAAGTACATCAAAATATTATACTAAAAAGCTATCATCAATAAGCAGCAGAAAGAACGTCCAACACATGTACCCTAAATGTTTCACTCTTGGCATAAAAATATTACTCTGCTAGCGGTAGTAAATGGAAATCACTAATGGGCAGATTGTGAAGAGCTTCATCACATGTGTGCACCCAACATGTGGAGCACTCTTGCAAATCTGGACATAGAAGTGCTTGATCCTGCTACCTCTACCAACAATAGTACCTCATTCCCTGAGTGGAAATTACTAGCGCAGTAAGGTCCTACTCAGTCTAACTAAAGGTGGCAGAATTTGGCCCTAAATCAGAGCCAAATCCTATTCACCTTACAAAAGTAGTTATGTTACTCAGCTGAATAAAGCAAACAGATTTTGGTCCCAAGTTGCTAAGGGCTAGATTCACAAAGATATTTAGGATTCCAACATTTAGGTGCCACTGCCATTCTCAAAACCACTACTCAGCTTCTGCCTAGCCCTGCAGGTGCCTAAATTTCTACCAGTCAGCACATGCAAAGCCCTGATGTTGCCCCACAGCTAATGAGTGAGGCTTCTGAGCAATCCAAGCCAAAGCCCTCCTGGGATTCTCAACCCAGGTGTTTCCCACCTTCAACAGAATTGATTGAAAGACCCAACACAGAGGTTAAGGCACTCATCTGGAATGTAGGGGAGGTGGGTTCAAATCCCTGTTCCAATTCAGGGGCACAGTTAATACTGAGCATTTTCCACTTCACATTTTTAATCCTGACACCGACATAACCATTTCAGTCTTTTTCTAATTTCATCCAGAATTTCCTGTCTGATTTATGTGATTTCTTATCATCTCTCAGGTGTCTCTGGTTTACTGAAGATGTTTCTCAAATATTTTTGAGTTGCAGAGACTGCTTTTTAAAAATCAGGATTGGGAGGATGGCAAGATGGCTATGGAACCTTCTACATCTAGGTCACTGAACAAAACCCAGCCCAGGTCCATAGTAACTACTGCCAGCTGAGGACTGTTCAGTGGCCTGTGTGAAATTGATGGGCAAAGGCAAATTTCTAGCGCAGATGTTAACGCTGCACAAAAAACAACCCATAATGGGCTCTGACTGGCATTCTTGTTGACAGCCTCAGTAAAGAGGCAAAGAAGTGAACAAGCAGGAGCACTGTACTCTACAAGGGTGATTCTACTATGTCAGTGAACAGGAACATTGGCAATGTAATGTGTGAGAGCATGTCAGTATGTGGCTCTGATACCTGTGCATGTGAACTTCAGGCTCCAGCGCTGTGGATTTGGCACCTTGTAGATGCACTAATTTTTATTTAGAGTTTATCTTAATTCTTCCCATCATCACCTTTTAGACTAGTGCTGATTTAGCCACTTTGACAGAACAATATCCTCTCCCCTTCAAAAAGAAAAAGAAAAGGAATGTACAACCTGCAGTGGGATGTTGTCCCCCCCAGGTGCTGAGGACTACACCAGAAAGAAAAAAGGTACATCTTACAGAGTCTTTCAAATAGCAGTGGAAAAGAACAATAAAACCTTGCCAAACATGGAATACAGGAAACAGCCTGTCCAGCTGTAGACTTTTTTCTAAAACTTTTTAAGCAGAACAGAATGTTCCTCGTGTCCATATTAGATACCGATGTTGAAATCTATATTGATCTAGCTCTCACCACATAACTGAAGTAATATTCCTGTTTGAATGTAGGAGCACATGCGGTTTAATTTCTTCATGCAAAAGTACAAATAAGATCCAACTACATAGTTCCTAATGAGCAAACCCACACAGTGTATTGAGTTGCATTGACTATCATACTGCGAAGTGTTCAGCTGAGGTTTTAACAAAAATGAAGAGACATTAAAACAATGAAAACAAGCTCTGTTTTGCTAACAGACAATGTACTGGAAGTTAAATATAACTCTTTCCAATTTATAATTTTAATCAAGTAAAACATATGTTACTGAAGTGAAGAAATGTCAGTTTGCCATAAAATGATAGTTTTAGAATCTGTGGTAAGAATATGTAATACTGCAAATAATATTGGGTTATCACTTAATGTATATTGTCAAAAACGGGAAAATACCTCAAGCCAGTTAAAATGGTCAAAGACACCTGCCGTTGTTCAAGCAGTGTTACTTATTTCAGCTGGTTGGCAATTCTCTATCTTGCAGATTTTCATCCATAAGAACTAGGACCCTACCAAATTCAGCATCCATTTTGGTCAATTTCATGCTCATGGGCTTTTAAAAATAGTCAATTTCTCTGAAATTTCACATGTGAACATCTGAAACAGAGTGTTGTAACCGTGGACGTCCCTACCCAAAAAGGAGTCATGGGGGGGGGGGTCGCAGGATTCCCACCCTTACTTCTGTGCTGCCTTCAGAGCTGGGCAGCCAGAGAGCTTTTGAAGCCAGTGCTACCGCCAGCATAGAAGTGAGGGTTGCAGGGTATGGGGGGTGGGGGCACATTATTGGTTGGTGACTGCTAAGGGCTGTAGGGGGCTGGAGTTGGGGAGGTGCAGGGCTGGGGCTGCCCCAGCTGGGGACTCCTACCATGTGCTGGGCTCCAGCTGCTTGTCCCAGCCAGGCAGGGTAGGGATGGGACTTCCTCATGTCCTGCAGGGGCCACTTTAGGGGCCAGGTGAGACCTACCCCCGGGAATCTCCCATGGCTGCCTGCAGCTGCCGGTTGGGAGCCCAGCTCTGAAGGCAGTGCAGCTGTGGAGCTTCCTGCAGCCAGGGGAGATTCCGAGAGGTGGGTCTGATCTGGCCCGGGAATGGCCCCTGCAGAGGAAGAGCAAGTTCTGTCCCTCCCCAGTCCAGCTGGGACTAGCAGCTGGAGCCCAGCACATGGTAAGAGCCCTCCTCCCCTACAGTAGCCAGATTTCACAGCTCATGGCACATTTTTCATGAATTTGGTAGGGCCTTAACTAAATTTCAAAACCTGCTAACGGGTCACGAATAAGTCTGTATTTCATGGTGAATGGATGTTTTTGTGGGGGAGGTGTGAAGATGAGTGGGCATTCGTCTTTCCCGAGTTGTTTTTAGTGATACTTCCATGAACACAGGGTCTCTGCTTTTAATTCTCCTGCTTATTCCCTATCTGAAATCAGAGCCAACTTAACAGTGCAACTCTGACTTCTGTGGCTTTACAACAGGAGTGAATTTGGCCTCAAATACGCATAAGTAGGTTCTGCAGAGATCTTGCCACATATGGTTTCTGATAGAGGAATAGGCAGAGAATATTTAAAAGAAAAAAAAAGTCTTTCATATAAAATGTTCCTATTACTAAGAATGGGGGGAAAAATAGAAAATGTGAGATCAAAACTATTTATAAATATAACTTCTTTTCCAGCTTTCTCCATGAAGCATTCAGTTGTTCTTTATTTGTTCTTTTCTGTTAGATTCAAAGTGATGGTCAGAAGGGATGAAAACATAGTAGATGGAAAGGTTAAAAGCTTAACAAAAAACAAAAACAAAAAAAGCAGCATTCAGAAGTTTGCTCCCATGTTATACTGTAGTGCAACTGCCTGGTACATTATGAGAGCCTTTAAACTGCACAAGTTGAAGCATCGGTATGTTCCTGTCTAACTATTCTTATTGGGATTTGGGGGCAAGGGGACAGGAAAGACAGAAAAAGACACCAAATAGAGAAGATAATATTGTAAAGGCAAATATAGCCATTCTTAAAGGTTTTTATCATGGGAAAAAAGGTGAGAACAGAAGAACATCAGAAAGAGGAAGAGCCATAATGGTATGAGTGTGACAATGGAAGAAATATATAAAGCCAAACAATAAGGAGAAAACTACAGAATTTGAGTATAGGAAGGTGATGGAACAGAAAGACTATGAGTGTGAGGGAAATTAACAAAGTAAGAAGAGGTTCAAGGGGTGGGGGAACAAAATGGTGTGAAAAGACAAGGAGGTTGCAATAACATATCGTAGGACAAAAGAAATGAGGAGTACAATAACAAAGCAGTAAAGAAGTTGACACAACACAGAAAAGCAGAAGACTGAGGCCCTGATTAGGAAAGTGCTTATGTAGCTGTCCAGAATAGAGATGGATCCTTAAACTGGGGCCTATACCACCAAAAAAGAGAGGAAAACAATCATAATTAAGAGATTCCTCACTCTTTGGAAAAAATATCTCATCTCTATATTCTCACACTATGTTTACATTACACTGCAGGACTATTAATTACTTTTAGTGTGAAAAGTCTATCTTTTGAAGGCAATTATATTAAATGGATCATGAGTTATTTCCACATTAGATACAGGGGATTTTGAAAAGGAATTCATTTAAAAGTCAGGCTGACATAACCCATTTCCCTTAACAGCCAACATGTTCCTTTTACATACTGTGTTTATATGGCTTCATGGAAAGTACACTCTGCCCAGTACATTGCTGAAAAACCCCAAGGAAAGAAAAGACAAGACCATGGTAGGGAAAAAGAATATTACTTTCCACTTTGCTATCCATACATCCAAATCATTCATCAATTCTAGGTAAAAAAGGAATTTTAGATTAAAGTTCAAGCATCTTACCATTTGTGATATTAAAGACAACCCTAAAATCAATCATGCTCCAATACACAAAAGGCATTGAGAGTGTTAAACTGTAGATGATGATGAAATATCTCATAGAAACACTTTGCAGTAAGAACCAGATTCTAATGTAACACTGAAATCATGGAAGCAAATGTCCCACGAAGCAGAAAAATCAAGGCTAAATATCAGAAAAAAAGTGTCCAGTCTGAGATATCAGACTATGGATCAGCCTCCTACCAAATGAGGTAGAGATGCTACTACTTGATTAACTTTAAACAGGATTGTTTAAAGTTACAACAGAATCCTGAATTGGTAAAGAGATAAGTAACATGACCTAGTATATATTTTTGATGGCTAATTGTGGATCAGTCATGAAAACACCGCACCTTGATTAGCTGGAGCTAAATTAATTGAAAAAAATCTTATTTACCTCTGAATTTATGAAGTAACGTTTACTAATTTCTGTTTCCTGATGGCTCAACTGAGGCTAATAACACATCTAGACCCTGTAACTTCATTTCTTGTTAAGTTGTAAAAGGAAAAAAAATGATAACATAAGAAATGAAAGGTTATAAAAAGGAGATATTGCATTCTGAATATTTTCATCAGGATGTATCAACACATAAAAGTGACAATATTTTGACATAGTCAACATTCATTGTCCCTCAAGGTAAATATTGGGCTTACCCTTGCATCAGTCAACAGTCTTGGTGTTCACCTTAACAGCAGTCAACATCTCATCTGGTGTGAGATCCTCCCTTCCATTGGTTCCCCTCTAGACCAAGTAAAAGGGCTAGAATGTCTTAAAGGGGTCCTCAGCAGAGTGGATTGTGGGTGGAGAATTCTCCTGGTGCAGATATTGTAGGAGGCAGCTGCAAGGTTTCCCTCAAAGTACCTACAAGTCCTAGTGGGAGTGCTGAGGATGGGCCTAGGTCTGATATAAAAGACAAAATTAATGAGAAAATAAAATAAAAGCAAAGGTGACATGGCAATATCAGTTCTTGCACAACAATGAAAAGTAGCAAACTAAGCAACAGGTATAGCAAGATTAAATGGGAAATATAAATACAAGTCTTACATGGAATTATCACTGAGAACTGAAAAAGACAGAAAATGAAATTTTCTGATTTATATGCAAAGAAGTTTGCAATTTCCAGCCAGGCATTGAGAGAATAAGGAAGTATTTTGAAGGAAATACAAGAGAGAAAACTGGAAAATATGGAAATATTTTGGGAAGCATGAAAAATATTGATGGCATATCTATATACAGAATGTACACAAACATTTGCTGACAGTACGTGTAAATATATTCACAAATTACCAAATTCTGATCTTGGTTACATCAATGTAAATTAATTTCCAGATTAACACCAATGTAACTGAGATCAACGTTTGTCTCATAGACTATATATCATACCTGTATTTAATTGTGATTAATGAATTATCAGATATGAGAATGGGTATAAGTAATCTTGTGAGGAATGCACGTTCATAGAAGGTGAAATTCCCTCTATGTAGTAAAACAGCACAAGGCTTATGTACTAGTGGTACTATTTAATCCCTCCAAATAAGTCTCAGGTAGGATTTAAGTGGTATATAGGCATTGAGTTGGCCTGATTCATGGAATGAATTTCACTCATTATGAGGAGCAGAAAAAACAACCATTTTCCACACTATGCTACAATGTGTGCATAGAGACTCAAGGCAAGACCCTTATAGGATATGACACATCAAAATAAAAAGAACTATTGCAGCATAACCCTTATCAATTCAATTCTATCCCAAGAAGTATGGTTGATATTTCATAAATGCTTTTGGGGATGGAATTGTGTGCCAACTAGTTTTTTTTAAAAGGCGCATCAGATTGATAAATGTACTTCTCTATTTATAAAAAAAGTAAAAAGTGCATCTTAATCTATATTTCTACTGCCTTAAAAACTAATAATTAATTCCAGAGGGTAATCCTGGCATTTATTTGCAGTAGGTACTGTACAAAGCTCCATCTGCTTACATTACTTGGCATGTTACCAGCACAAGACTCACCGTTTCCTATGCTTTATTAACCATTGATAAGTCAAACTAATGCTAAGTAATTTAGTGTTATTGTGATTGGCTAATTATGGAGATGACATTTTATGTGCAGTGCTTCAAATCAGTGTAACCACACTTACAGTTTGCATTCTGTTTATCCCTGTTTACCAATGAAAATGTGGAACAACTATGATTTGGTCATTTTGTAGATTCCAGTTGACCATAGATTAATTTCATAATTTACTGCTAAAGCTCCCCCCCCCCCCCGCCAAACACTGCTTTTTTCTCAGCTACTTGTTTTAAAATGGCGTTTGATAAAAATAGCTATTTTATATATTCTGCTAAATATTAGATATGCTGTTTATACAACTGTTTCAGCAATAAAAAGTCATTCTGTTAATCTTAATAATGTTTTTGCATTTATTTTTGATTAATTAGAGGCCCTGGATATACATACATAAATATGCACTACAGAGAAACTAGTTCATTAAAACTGAAAAAGCAACCACTATGGTTTTTCAAATGTTTTAATATTTTGGCACATTCACGTCAAATCAGAATCTTTATGAAGTCTTAGACCTTTACGTATAAAAATATACAAATAGGTGCTTGCAATATAATTTCTTTAATTAATTTCCTTTATGTTTAAGAAGTAACATTAAGTATGCTGAAGCACATGTATTTAATTCTCCTTCTCAGAATGTAATAAGTGTAACAGATCCAAACGTTTAAACAAGGTCTATGTGTATAAGGCTACGACTTGAAAATCCCAAACTTGAAGAGCTATTGTATTAAACTGTTTACCTAGAAATGTGTCAAAATAGCTAGAAACTGCCCCTGCTATCAGCTCTTTTATTTTGCCATGCAGGGAATATACTAGGTGAGCTGAGATTACTTACAAATGGAATTTCCTGAGATCAGAATTAGTTGTTTCCTTCAAAAGTAATTCTTCCCCACTTTGAGGATATAAACTCCAAGGAAGTGTCTACAATAAGGAAAACATGAAATACTTTAAAAAAACAAATGAAATACCCCACCCCCACTTCAAGTCACCTATTGAACCAAAAGGAAAAAAAAAATCAAGGGTCAAATGAGTTAGACCAGTGGTTCTCAACCTTTCCAGACTAACTGTACTCCTTTCAGAGGCCTGATTTGTCCTGCGTACCCCCAAGTTTCACTTCACTTAAAAACCACTTGCTTACAAAATCTGACATAAAAATACAAAAAAGTGTCACAGCACTATTACTGAAAAATTGTAGTTTCTCATTTTTATCATATAAATAAGAAAATCAAATCAATAGTGTACTTACATTTTAGTGTACAGTATATAGAGCAGTATAAACAAGTCGTATGAAATTTTAATTTGTACTGACTTCGCTAGTGCTTTTTATGTAGTTGGTTGTAAAACTAGGCAAATATCTAGATGATTTGATGTACCCCCGGAAGTCCTCTGAGTACCCCCAGATGTACATATACCCCTGATTGAGAACTACTGAGTTAGACTATTTTCAATACTGATACTGATTTTGCAGCACAAATTAGACTTTTCAACATGAATTTGTTTCCACTAATGCTAGTGTCTTATTAAAACTATATTGAGAATTCCACAGGGGCTGCTCTGCAAATCTCCTGACTAGTTTCAGAGTAACAACTGTGTTAGTCTGTATTCACAAAAAGAAAAGGTGTACTTGTGGCACCTTAGAGACTAACCAATTTATTTGAGCATAAGCTTTCGTGAGCTACAGCTCACTTCATCAGATGCATACTGTGGAAAGTACAGAAGACGTTTTTATACACACAAACCATGAAAAAATGGGTGATTATCACTACAAAAGGTTTTTCTCTCCCCCCACCCCACTTTCCTGCTGGTAATCAATCTCTCTGGTCACGCGATTACAGACATGAAAGTTGCGATATTACAACAGAAAAACTTCAAAACCAGACTCCAGCGAGAGACTGCTGAATTGGAATTCATTTGCAAATTGGATACAATTAACTTAGGCTTGAATAGAGACTGGGAGTGGCTAAGTCATTATGCAAGGTAACCTATTTCCCCTTGCTATGACCCTCTTCTAGGCACCAGAGACTCTGAATATAGGCATCTGTAACAGACAACACAGCTTTGCATGAACCACAAGGCTTTTGAAGCTGGTTTTCTTTCATGATTGAATCATCAAAATGTGGGATTGATGGATCCAAGAAAGAGGGGGGAAAATCAACCTAACAGAACTGATATTGAAAGGGGAAGCAGCCCGAGTCAGCTGTGCTCTGAAGACACCCACAACAACACGACCAGCAGAAAAGAAAAGTGGGGATTTTCTGTTTTTAAGGAAAAAAAGGCTGGTGAACAAGCTAGTGAATTATATACTAAGACTATCATGAAAAGGAGCAAAGAAAGGAGAAAACCAACAAGGGAAGGCAATTGCACTCTAGGCAATTTATTCCAGTGCTTAACTACCCTGACAGTTAGGAAGTTTTTCCTAATGTCCAATTTAAACCTTCCTTGCTGCAATTTAAGACATTAAGACATACTGAGTGTGCTCTGAACTCTTGTACCCTAGATAGTCAGAAAGATGTGTGGTTGTGCCCACTTCCCACTTTACAACCTCAGAATCCTGTGCAAGGGAAAACAGTTGCTGGGTGAGTGGCCCAACAGATACTGTTTTGCCGAAGGTCTTGCACTGAAAAGAACCCGTACCCAGGAATGGAAATCAATTTGGACACCACCAAAACAGGTAAGGCTGGGTTACACAGAGCAACAGTAGAGTTCTAAGTTGAAAATGACAAAATGACGTAAGAGCAGTTAGGTAGCCTGGCTCCTTTATGTTGCTCTTGACTCCTTTTAGCCTCTTTGCATCTTGGTTGGTAGGGACAGAACGCTGTCTTTTAGGATTTCTACTACAGTTTATAGAAAGAAAAAAAAGATGCACTGCAAATCCAGAATAAGATTTAAGATTAGCAATCTATGGTCTGAGACAGACTGTTGTGCTGGAAACTAGAAGATCTAGTGACATTTGAAAGGGGTTTTATTTGTTTGTTTCTTGAACCTTGAAATTTAGGGAGGAAAAAAACTGTAATTAGTAAAACATTTATGGAAATTTTGGGGCTCTGTTAGAAGAATTTCAGAGGAAAAAGGAAGGTCAGATCAAACCTGCAGACCCATTATAGTAATGGTCACAGCCATACACATTAGGACTTAGTTGGCATACTGCCATTTCAACTTCCTTTAAAACTCCATCCTTTTACCTCAATGAAACGCATGATGAAATATTGCAGTCGACGGTCACTGAAATTCCCTATGACAGGTTTCAGAGTAACAGCTGTGTTAGTCTGTATTCGCAAAAAGAAAAGGAGTACTTGTGGCACCTTAGAGACTAACCAATTTATTTGAGCATAAGCTTTCGTGAGCTACAGCTCACTTCATCGGATGCATACTTTGGAAAGTACAGAAGATCTTTTTATACACACAAACCATGAAAAAATGGGTGTTTACCACTACAAAAGGTTTTCTCTGCTCCCACCCCACTCTCCTGCTGGTAATAGCTTATCTAAAGTGATCACTCTCCTTACAATGTGTATGATAATCAAGGTGGGCCATGTCCAGCACAAATCCAGGGTTTAACAAGAACATCGGGGGGCGGGGGAGGAAAAAACAAGAGGAAATAGGTTACCTTGCATAATGACTTAGCCACTCCCAGTCTCTATTCAAGCCTAAGTTAATTGTATCCAATTTGCAAATGAATTCCAATTCAACAGTCTCTCGCTGGAGTCTGGTTTTGAAGTTTTTCTGTTGTAATATCGTAACTTTCATGTCTGTAATCGCGTGACCAGAGAGATTGAAGTGTTCTCCGACTCGTTTATGAATGTTATAATTCTTGACATCTGATTTGTGTCCATTTATTCTTTTACGTAGAGACTGTCCAGTTTGACCAATGTACATGGCAGAGAGGCATTGCTGGCACATGATGGCATATATCACATTGGTGGATGTGCAGGTGAACAAGCCTCTGCTAGTGTGGCTGATGTTATTAGGCCCTGTGATGGTGTCCCCTGAATAGATATGTGGGCACAGTTGGCAACAGGCTTTGTTGCAAGGATAGGTTCCTGGGTTAGTGGTTCTGTTGTGTGGTATGTGGTTGTTGGTGAGTATTTGCTTCAGGTTGGGGGGCTGTCTGTAGGCAAGGACTGGCCTGTCTCCCAAGATTTGTGAGTGTGTTGGGTCATCCTTCAGGATAGGCTGTAGATCCTTAATAATGCGTTGGAGGGGTTTTAGTTGGGGGCTGAAGGTGATGGCTAGTGGCGTTCTGTTATTTTCTTTGTTAGGCCTGTCCTGTAGTAGGTGACTTCTGGGAACTCTTCTGGCTCTATCAATCTGTTTCTTCACTTCCGCAGGTGGGTATTGTAGTTGTAAGAATGCTTGATAGAGATCTTGTAGGTGTTTGTCTCTGTCTGAGGGGTTGGAGCAAATGTGGTTGTATCGCAGAGCTTGGCTGTAGACAATGGATCGTGTGGTGTGGTCAGGGTGAAAGCTGGAGGCATGTAGGTAGGAATAGAGGTCAGTAGGTTTCCGGTATAGGGTGGTGTTTATGTGACCATCGTTTATTAGCACTGTAGTGTCCAGGAAGTGGATCTCTTGTGTGGACTGGACCAGGCTGAGGTTGATGGTGGGATGGAAATTGACTAGCTAATGATCTGAGGCTGGCTTCTGTCACTGTCCTTAACATGCCCTTAAGGATCAGGCCCACTAAGGAATAACAATGAGAAGGCATTAAGGATATAAATAGATCTTTTATCTAAAGATTTAGCCTACTCCAGATAAGAGCCAAGAGAGCTTTAATGTTCAATTTGGGACCTGCTGGCATGGCCATAAGATTGCAGGGAAAATACTGATAATATTATGACTGATTGATTAAATTGAAATTCTGCCATTTTTGGGGAGGAATTGCATATGGGCCTGTAGCACTAATTTATCCTTATGAAATTTAATGTGGGATGACTGAAGCCCTACTTACCATGGAAACTGAAGTCACTGCTATCAGAAAGAAATAATTTCTTACCTGGTAATTGTTTGCGGAAGAAACACAATTTAGTAGAATATCACATTTGGATCTGTGCCCCGGGGTGCTCCTCCTCTGAGCAACTGCTGTGGAGCCTAGGCTCCTCACAGTCCTCTAACAGTCTAGGAAAGGATTGGATGATCAGGTAGACTAAATTACATGTACACTCCTAGAGGTGATCCTTCTAGAAAAAGCAGAAGCACATTGGCAAGAAACTTGTAGGAAAGTATACATGCCCACTGCCGGTACTCTGTCTGTTCTGTGAGTAACTAGAGAGCTTTAGTCGTCATAGCAGTCAATCTGGCATATTTCATAAACACTAAATGTAGTTTTAAAAAAATCAAATACTCAAAAATGGTACAAGACGTAATATTTTATTAAAATGACTAGATATTACTCCTTTTTAAAACAAATTGATGGAACCAAAATTCACTGTACAAGTTGTTAAAATCATTTTATTGATATTACTATATTAAAAATGAAATACATCAGAGCTACTGAAGAGCAATGTATTCCTACTGACATTCTGCTAACATTTTGCCGCTCCATATATCAAAGTATGGTTGCACTGAAGACAGTGAACTCCATCGTGGGGATTATATGATCCTGGGCTGCAGACAACTACAGACAAAGAAAACAGAACAAAAGAAATTTAAAAAAAACTAAATGAATGATTTCTAAAATATTGCTTAGATTAGAAATGTTTAAAACCCTTTCCTTGGGATGTAATATTCAACTAATTGGCAAGATTAGATTTTTCTAACATTCTAATATTTGAATTTTTAAAAAAAGGACAAATGTAAAAATCTATTTTTACATGCCGTCCATTTGTTACATATAATATTCTTCTCTTCACAAAAGTAGTTTGTATGACGTTCTGATTCCCCATTGCTCTACCCCAAGCAAATTTTTTCACTATTGAAAACCAGTGAGCAGCAGCTGCCAACGGATTCTAATGTGGTCAACACCCTGTAATGTTTGAACTAAATTGCTTTAGCTCCACCTAGTGGACACAGATGTACTTAAAAGGAAATTTAAAACAAAACTGATGTTTAAGAATCTATTAATAAGTAGCAAGTGCACAGAGAATACAACAAACAAGCAGACATCAATGTGTGGGGCCAAAGATGATGGTGTGAGCAGAATAACTTTTCTACTGCTTAACTCATGCTATGCGATTCTGTGAAATCAGTACACACTCAGCTAAGGACTGACTACAGCCCTACCCTGTATACTATATGTTAGCCCCCAACATAAGTCATCAGGAGGAAGCAAGAAGGATCACAGCCAGGTGACTGGTTTGTCTGTGGTTCTCCTGGCTCCCTTGAACATCACTATACTTTGACAATTATAGCATTTTTAGAGGAAAAGGGGGACAGTGAGGGTGTTAATGCTCAGCCCCACTGGAAACTGGGAAGCTCCTACTCCTGTAGCTGGAGCACACCTGCTTCCCCACTTTGTAGCCCAAAGGTGGCCACTAGGTCTTACCCTACCTGACACCTATTAATTAAACAGGATTTGTGGAGCTTCACCCTGCCTATTCCCATTTTTATAGAACCTTAGAGAGGTTCATCTGACCTGTGGCAACCACCAGGGGTTGCCTGACTCTGCTTGTTCCTTTCTGGTGACTCAAAGGAGTTTTAGAGGTCTTCTCAAATGCCATTAGAAATGGGCAGAGCTTATTCACCATTTAGCAAGAGAGGCTTGCAAGTGGCCCTTCATCCCAACCCTAAAAATCACTGTATTAACTATTTGGATTATGGTAGTGCCTAAAGGCCCCAAACAAGAGCAGGGTCCCATTTTGCTAGACACTATACAAACCTTATACGTGTATTAGACAATCATCATCCTTGATTCAGACATTTTCATTAATAAGCATAAGGGAAGCATCACAGTAACGATGATTGGTAGGAGGATTCAGGAGCCCCTCTCTCTCTCGGCAGGAGAGTCACAATTTTTCTCCCACTGCTGGGGAGAGTGAGGAAGTGTGTCTGGAAGTGGTACGTGAAGCTCTGTATCCACCCTTCAGCACATCTCTGTGGTTCTGCTGGAGGAAACCTTAGATATACACGCAGCTAACAGCACATCCCAGTCTCCACATCAGCTGGGCTGGTAAATAGCCTTCCTTCTCCCTGGAGTGTCTCAACAACAGAAGCAAAACTGCACTCTCCCCCCTTCTTCTCCCAGAGAATTCCATGTTATATGATAACAATCATATAAAAAGTTATTTGTGAACAGCTCAATCTCAGTCTGCCATCTAGGGGAAGGCATGAAAAAGAGAAAAAATCTTAAGCAAACAGCCAGCTGCTTGCTGAGCTGGCTGCCAGGAAAAGATCTAAAGTTTCTTACAGTAAACAAAACTTGCCTCAGTCTTCCTTATTGAGCATAAATTTCCACTGGCCTAACTTCACCCTTCATGTATAAACATCTCCACAAAATACTTCACCTCGTGTATTTCATTTGTCTATCTAATATACCATTTCATACCTCACAAACTTTTAAGTGCACTTGACGTGTTAATTTCTTCTTGAATTCTATGTGCTGACATTTTCTGCTCTACTCCAATTTTTAGTACTATTTCAATATTTGCTTGAGCAATACATTTTATTTAGAACTTTGAAATGATTATTCTTCAGTTATGGTTTCTTTTTTTTTTAATTCACTTTTTTGAGAGAGCTGGAGAAATTCAAATTACCGTAATGGCAAGCTAAATTTGTACCTAGTCCATTAAAGCAAATTACTACAGGAAATCAAACTATAAAAGATAATGAATGAGGACAAAGACTACTAAGTTATAAATCAAGTGTGGGTTTTTGATTATATTATCCCATGGGACAGAGGTGGGCAAACTACGGCCCGGGGGCCACATCTGGCCCTTGCAGATGTTTTAATCTGGCCCTTGAGCTCGCGCCGGGGAGTAGGGTCCAGTGCTTGCCCCACTCCAGCAGGGGAGCGGGGTCGGGGGCTTGCCCTGATCGGTGCGTGCTGTGACTCCACACAGCTCCCAGAAGCAGCGGCGTATCCCCTCTCCGGCTCCTACATGTAGGAGCAGCCAGGGGGGCTCCGCACGCTGCCTCCACCCCAAGTGCTGCCTCTGCAGTTCCCATTGGCTGGGAACTGCGGCCAAGGGGAGCTGCAGGGGTAGTTCTCTGAGCACACAGAACCTCCACGCCGCACCGCCACGTAGGAGCCGGAAGGGGGATATGCTGCTGCTTCTGGGAGCTGCTTGAGGTAAGTGCCATCCAGAACCTGCATCCCTAATCCCCTTCCCGTGCCCCAACCCCCTACCCCACCCAGAGCCTCCTCATTTCTGGCCCCACCCCAGAGCCCGCACCACCAGCCAGAGCCCTCACCCCCTCCCACACTGCAAACCCCAATTTTGTGAGCATTCATGGCCCGCCATACAATTTCCATACCCGGATGTGGCCCTCGGGCCAAAAAGTTTGCCACCCCTGCCATGGGATGAAATCAAGTTGCTAGGAATATATCAGGAGACCACAAAAGATATGAATTTTAGTACTGTATTTCATCTACATCTGTAGCCTAACTCCTGAAGGAAAATGAAAACATTGCAGGAACGTTTTTGAGACCAACCAATCCATTGTAATGGGGATGGGGAGTGGGTCATGGAATATATATACCTGCAACAAATCTCAGAGCCTCAGTTAATGTAGTAAATAATTGTTTCATCTTATTCTTCTTAAGTGCTTGTACACGTTTATATTCTAATGAGATTCCCAAGCAGTTCTCTTTTGGAGATGGAAACTCACTGAGGTCTATTTAAACTGCAACTGAAGAACTGTCGTTTCAAAGTTGGCCTCAGCTCTGGATGCTTTCACTATGGCATAAAGTTGAGTGAACGTATGGAAGTAGCAACTCTATAAATGTCCACGAGGAGAATGCTCCTCAGAAGGGCCATAGCAGCAGCCGGGCTCCAGTTTAATGCACAATAATACTTGGTAATGGTGTCAGATTTTAACAACTCATAATAAGTACAGATAGAGGAAGAGATCCAGTTAGAAATCCTCTGGGCTGAAGTGGCCTGACCTATCATTCTTTCCGTTTAAACTACAAAAAGTCTTGTTTGCTCTCTATAAAATGAGAGCACCATATGGACATCTGAGAGTGCAGCTTTTCCTCATCCTTGTCAGTATGTGGTTTCAGAAAAATTATCACTAGTGATATAACCACATTTAAGTGGAATTTCAAGACCATCTATAACCAGAATTTTGGATGAGGTTCTAAGGAGACCTTATCTTCACAGATAGGCTTGGAAGGATTAGATTTTTATCAGTAATTGTTGGTAAATGTTCATTTCACCGTACACACAAACCAGTGCAAAACCCTTTCCATCGATAATGACAGAAATTTACAGATCGACAGAAGAAGAAAAATGATGCTTGAGAACTTAGAGTTTGATTTAAGGAGATTTACTTTATATATTTTGACATGTGATACTGCCAATGTGTGTGTTAATGGTTACAATGCTTTAACTTTTTGAATCTACTATTAAATAGTTATTGTCCCCACCCCCAGAATTTCCCTCAATCATGAAAATTTAAATAGATACAAATTGGGGGGAGTGTAAACATCTAGATTATCTGTCAATTACATATAAAAAACCCCGACAAATTCTGCCAAGACCACTTATAGAAGACAGTATATGGAATTCCTGCCATTAGAGCCTTTAATTTTCTCACTTTCTTTGGTGATGTCATTGCAGCTAGAAATGCTGTCTTCGCTAATAAGTGAGAAAGGCAGCAATATGCCAGCAGTTCAAAGGGCAGTCCCATGAGGCCTGTGAGGACTAACTTAAAGTCCCAGAGAGGGACTGGTTTTCTTGTTGATGGATCAAACTCTTATTAGGTCTTTTAGAAGTCGTCCTACTACAGGGATGAAAAAAACAGAACATCCCTGAATAGGAGGGTGAATGGTGGAGTTAGCTTGCTGAAAGTTGACCTCGCAGCTCACTGATAGGCCCAAATTCTTTAGTTCCAGTAGGTATTCCAACACCTCTTGTATCTGCGCTTTGGATGGAGACAGTTGATGATGCCAGGCCTACACTGAAAACCTCTTCCAATTAGCCAGATAAGTCTTTCTGGTAGAGTCCTTCCTCCTGTTAATAAGGATATTTTGAACTCTATGCAAACAGTTTCTTTCTGATAAATTTAGCCACTCTGATCCCTGCTGTGAGGTGGCTATTGCAAGGATTGGGGTACAAAGTCTGACCGGGTCTCAGCAATTGCGTCCAGGAATAAAGATAAGGTTATGGGAGGCTGCACTGACATAAGAACAGCCATATGAGTCAGACCAAAGATCCATCTAGCCCAGTATCCTGTCTTCCAACAGTGGCAATGCCAGGTGCCCAGAGGGAATGAACAGAACAGGTAATCACCAAGTGATCCATCCCCGTGTCCCATTCCCAGCTTCCGGGAACCAAAAGAAAACACCAACCCAGGAACCTATCCTTGCAACAAAGCCCGATGCCAACTCTGTCCACATATTTATTCAACTTACACCATCATAGGACCTAATCACATTAGCCACGCCATCAGGGGCTCATTCACCTGCACATCTACCAATGTGATATGTGCCAGCAATGCCCCTCTCCCATGTACATT